AATAATTTCAAATATCAGTATTCAACGTTTTATGTTTAATATATCAAAACATTATTTATGCATTTGTAATTGCAGGTTAAATGCATTCATGTCCTGCATTAAACAGTGTGTAAATACATCTATGTCACTTCAGATGCAGCTTCTGTGTTTCCTCTGCATTGCAAAGATGAATTTTGTTGATACTGATTTAATTTGATAGGTAACAGCCCAAACATCTTATTATTCTAATTGACTGATTAAATGTAAGAATTTGACTCAAAAGATAATGGGCACTTTTAGGGAAAAAAAGGCTTTATAAAGGTAAAAATGCCCATAAAATTTAAAAATCAGTTTAAACTTTTTGGAAAAGATTAATTTCTATCTGTGTGAACTGACCACCACACAGAATACGAAGAATATCAAAACCTTTAGGAGTCAGCTGTCCATGGCAGTCCTTAAGGTACAAGCACAATAACACACTCAGCAAATTAATGTCTAATTATCGTTATCGATAAAATCCCAGAAAATATCGAAATAGTATTTTTGTCAATATCGAACACCCCTAATATATAATCCTTTTTTATATTTATATATACTGAATTTACATTTTTCTAGTTATGCCAAGTTCTAAAAAATTTACTGGGAAGAAAATTGTGAGTATTTTTTAATTCTATCGTTAATCTGTATCCTGCAGTAATTCACAAACAACTGGAAACGTCATGGGGCCTTTGAATATTATTGTGGACATTGGGGGCCTTGGAGTCAAAAAGGCTCAGAACCACTGAAAGCAATGACATATGTAGTAAAAATAAATAAATCACCAGTTTTGGTCTCCACTCTTCATGACAGAGGAGGCGAGGCACAGCTTTTCTCTAATTGACCATGGCTCTGTTGGGCCCAACAGCAACTTATGTTCTGTCCAAAGAATAAAAAGGCAGAATATAAAGAGAAGAATGCATTTCAAGTGTAAACGGCATTCAAGCACATCTGTATGTGTTGCGCTGCGGGACGCATTATACAAGAGTGGTTTTATACATTATACAAGAGTCAGTTTGACAACTAATCACGGGGCCATTTTTGACAGTCGACGCATCGGCATCTCACATTCCTCTAATAGATGGGAAATGTGAAGCGCTCACGAAAGCTAGTTATAAATGTGTCATTTTTGTATAGTGTCCAGCGATTCGGCCAATGAGCGTCATTGTAATCAATGACTTCTACGTGTCAAATCCCGTAACAGCTATGCACGCGCTTGACATGCATCAATTATAATCTGCCCTCCGCTCCACGCAGGACATTCGCCGTACATGCATGCGTATGATGAAAATATAGAGAGCAATACTCGCTTCCAACTCCGCTCGCCATTTTGTCATGACTGGACTGTTTTCTATTGCTCCTTTGGCATGACAAGTGTCTGGTTATCAAATGTAAATGTGCATATCCGGTGTGAATTTTCCAACAATCATTTTGCTCTAAATGTCTGCATAACCCCAGTGTAGTTATGTCACATGTTTGCTGCATTTATAAAAGTCTGTAATTTTGACCAACATTTTGCGCTGTCATGCACTTTTATGAGGTACATTTCCTTAATACTTCGGAACTGGAAGGTAGCCTATAAATGTCATTGAATGACGTGCTGTTTGTAATTTAATACTAAATATATATAGGATGATATTATCAATAATAATATTTCGTATTGGTATATTATTTCTTCTGCTTACAAAATTCAGTTGTGAATGAAAGTTTCTTCCTGGTGCGTATTTTAGTCCCATGTAAGGCAATTATTGAAACGTAAAGAACAATCCATTATGCAGTTATATTTAGAAAATATCATGTACATAAAAACAAGTGGATACTTTCCAAAACAAAATTCTTTAAGAACCAACTAAAACCAAAAAAGTTAACATTAATTTCAATGTTTTTAAAACATTACATTTGGCAGCTAATGTTGTTAATAATGTGCCTAGTAATACATCTTGTTCTTGTGGCATTGGTTACAAAAATGTTCCATGTGCTGTGAATTAAAAATAAAAGTAAAAAGTAAAAAATAAAATAATTATTTTGGAATCAACACCAGTGCAAGCAAATGTTTACTTTGGATAATTTTATTTCAATATGATATGCCGAGGTATTATATGCTATGAAAAGCGATTTTACCGCAGCGAAGAAACAAATTTGTCATAAAATAAAAATATTAATAAGAAGAAGTAATGAGTTGGTTCATAAACAAATATTTTATTCTAGCTTTTATTTTGACTGGCTGATCCTTACCGGAAGTTAAACGAATAAAATATATTTATTCGAGGCCCTGTCGCAAATGGAACACTTCAGCTGTGTCCCAAAGTTGAGTGTGCACACTTTGAAGACCAGGCCTCCGAAGTGCACGAAGGGCCCTCCGAAGTGCATGAAGGACGCTCCGCCTTCGCAGGATTTCCTAATTGCGACACCAGAGGTTCCCGATTTGCGCTCTGTCGCATATCAACGGTGCGAGAGGAGAGCTGACGAGAGGACAATCCTGCCAGGATAGGTGGAGCCAGAATTGCTCATTTTTGTTTTGAAACCCGGATTTTTTAGGCAGTTAAGCATAAAAATAAAACTGAATAAAAAAATAGATAGAGCATTGTACAGCTCAATGTTCAGTGGCAGCTGTCACAGCTGAACAGTGCTCTGTTTGACCGCTCCCAGTCCTTCAGATGCAGCCTTTGATATAGTTAGCAAAACAAATTTAAAATTCTGACAAAATGTTGATACTTTCATTTTCAAAATAATCAGAGGTGGGCTGTAAGGGAGTAACATTCGTTAAGTATACTCGTACAAATATGAAGTACTAATTTTTCTCTTTTTTTTCCTCACAGGACAGCAACACTACAAAAATATGGTCTTTTACAACATGATGCATTGTTGTAGATTAAACTACCCAACAGTATATTTAGTAGGCCACTTTAAATGTAATAACCTTGAACATATTCAGAAGTAATGCAACATGCACAGTAGTGCAGCAGTAATATGCAAAACCATCCTAACAAATTCTTTTTCAGAACAATACTGTATACCTTTACTTTTACTCTCAAAACCTTAAGTATATTAGATTATGCAAGACAAGATAATACTTTTACTTAAAGGATAGTTCAGCCAAAAATGAAAATTCTGTAATCATTTACCCACCCTTAAGTTGTTCCAGGTTTGGAATTTTCATTTTTGGGTCAACTATCCCTTTAGCTAAGGTTTTAAATATGACTAGTAGTTTTTCCCCAATGTGGTATTAGTAGTTACTAAAAGTAGTTTACTAAAGTATCTCAATATTTCTTCTACTAATTACGTTGTCATAGCTCTAAACCAGTGGTCACTAACCTTTTTAGGCCCAAGATCCCTGACCTCGGCCTTTATGAAAGACAAGATCTACCTATTGAAGAATTGATAGAAAAAGACATCCCAGATTGTACTTCAAATTTGAGGCCTTTTACTTAGTATTTTAATTAGTGATGCGCTGAACATAGCTGATTCAGATTTCAGATTCTCTTTTCTTTCTTTTTTTTTTAACTAGCAAATTGGATTCTGATACTGATACTGATTTTTAAGCAAATGTATTTATTGGCTATTTGCTTTATAACAAAAAAACTGGCTTTAAACAAAAATATCTAGCCATTTGAAATTAGAGGCAACCACTGCATTTTAATCACGATCTGCACGGGCAGTTGTTTTTTGATTTGATTTAGATTAATTTCAGGATTTAAAACAAAAACAGAATGGTGCTCTTTGACAGCAGGTGGCGCCTATGAACAGGGTCGCCAGGTTTTCTCAATAAAACTAGTCCAATCGCGTTTCGAGGGGGTTCCCCTGTAAAAATCGCATTCGGGGGGTAAAATACAAGTTTTTCGGCGGGGATCTTCCAGTAAAATTCACATTCCAGGGACTAAATATCACGTTATTGGGGTCGCTTCAACCCGTGGACATGAACAACAACCCGCGGCACCAGTGTTAAAGTAGCCCAATTCCGCGGGGAAACCGCAGACTTGGCAACACTGCTTATGAACCGACCGCAATATAGCGTTTCCTTGGTTACCGCTGTAAACAAAGCAGAGCTGCGCTTTATACGGAGAAGAAAATGCCATTGCCATCGAAACTTTTCTCAAGACAGTTCCCTTCAGTGATACATTGATATAACCCCAGAAATGTAATGAATTTTTGTACTTATTTTACTGTTTTTTTCGGTATCTACTGGGACAGTGATAAAGATCTACCTATCTTGACATGCCTCGTTCCACTGTCACCGCATTATCCTCCGAGTCGCTGAGGAGGTGCTGGCCATTCATCAAGAGATTCACCTCCTGAAGACCCCAGAACACATGGAGGCAGGGCTGGGCTCAAAACTGATGTTGTTTTTTCTGATGTTAAACCTAAGCTATGTTGTAAATAGTATGTTGTAAATAGTTGTAAAAAGTACTTTCGGTAATGTATAGAACAATTTGTTTTAATGTGTAAAAAATAATATTTACAGGACAAAAAAAAACAGAGAAAAATGTTTTGTGAAAATATTATAAGCTGCATTAAAAAAATTAACAATGTACATAATTCCTTCTCTTTTATTTACACATGTGAATATGCAAAACAAAATGTACACACAATGAATTTCAGCAAAAATGTGTCTATTAACTTGCTTACTTTGTATTTTTTAAGTCTTTCCCCAGCAGGCTCATTTTCTCCAGAATAGTACTAAAACAAGAGAAAATGGAAAATGGTTTGCATTGCAATCTTAACATTAGAAAATATGACACAGCTGCACATGCATACAAAATACTGAAGTGCTAAAGTTTGGTTAAAACATTTGTAGACATATCTTGCATGACAGCACTACAAAAACACAAACAAATGGAAAGACTATTTATTGCCTTACATAGTGGTTGTCTTATTGTATGTGGGCTTTGTGTAAAAAAAAAACCTGGCTTTTAACACTTGTTTCGCTAGGTATTTGAGTAAATGAAAACACAATACTTACATTTCAATGTGAATTCCCCCACAGAACTCTCACCCACTGCTCTTTGAATATAAACACCGTTGTCATCTGGGCGCAAGTGATTCTGGGATATGGTAGGGTGCGAAGTGTCCATCAGATGTACATTTCATTTTCCTGGGAAACATCTCGGTTACGTATGTAACCTTGGTTCCCTGAATAGGGAACGAGATGCTGCGATGACGTCATCGCTATGGGAACACCTCCAGTGTGACGAATGTCTGAAGCCCTTATACCATCACGCCAATTTATTGGCCAATAGCGCTTAGCACCGCCCCAAGCATATGTCATGTATGCTCATATATGCGTGCTGCGCGCTATTCCATCAGATTTTACACTATGACGAAGGAAGCGCTATCGAAGGTACGGAACGGCCAGCATCGCAGCATCTCGTTCCCTATTCAGGGAACAAAGGTTGCATACGTAACCGAGATGTTCCCTCTCATAGGTTCACTGAGACTATCTGACTGAGGTTATCTGACAGACTTAAACGGCACAAATGGATGGCCTGCCAGGCCTTCCAACCGAAAATAAGTCCCAAAAAGGAATCTGTGCTGGGCGGAAAGCCGTCTCGTCCCTGCATGAAACGGGAAACCAGCAGCCAGCAGATACTTAAGGGCATACAGCGTCTCGTGGAGGGAGCTCTAGAATTAAGAATAGTGTCGGTAATCTCTGCCAAGAGACCGGAACACATTTCAACTCTGCTCAGGGGTCACACACATTAGTTCCAAAAATCCTGATGGGGATGTCCAAATTATGCCCCGAACCTGAGTCAGCAGGTCGTGTCTGAGGGGAACCTCCCAAGGGGGCCGGCTAACAGACTGACCAATTCTGAGAACCACGTATGAGTGGGCCAAAACGGCACCACCAACAACAGACGTTCACTCTGACCAACGTCACAACAGGGCCAAGACGCATCCATTCACCTTGCGTTCGAGGCCATTTCAATGAAAGAAAACAGTATTGGCAAGCTCTATTCCAAAAGTAAACCTGAGGAACTTCCTGCATCTCTTGACGATCTGGATGCAGAAGTACGCATCCTTAGATCGATGGCGAGTTGCGGGAAAAACCTCTGAAACAGGAACGGATACTAAAATCAGGCATGCCAGCACCAACCACAGAATGGGGACTTGGATGTCAACATAGACCCTGCGCCATGGCTTTAGGGCTATCCTCTCGATCTCCAAAGCTAAGGCGCGAAGAACGGTCAAAATCAGTCCGAAACGCAACAAGCGGCGGAACAGCTGATAGAGAGGCAAACACACTTGTAGGTTGCCCACATTCATACACAGTTCCAGCTCAATGCAACAGCGGAGCTGAAAAGAACAGAGTAATTAGTCATGCAAACCACTGCTTGGTAGCATGAAGCACCCAACATCTCTAGTGCACAATAATGTATGCTGCAGTCACATAATGCAGCCAGTCATGTGAAGCGAGTGTTGGTAGCAAAAGCGCCGCATCAATCACATGAAGTAGGCTGACCATGGCGATCATTA